GGCTCCGCCCCCCTCGTCCAATGGGGTGTCCCTGAACCAGTGTCTCCACTCTGGTCCTAAATTGATCAAGGACATATCCGACATTTTGACCCACTTCCGTCGGCATCAAGTTGTTTTTGTAGCCGACATTCGGATGATGTTTCGACAATCAGTGGTCCACCGTGATGACCGTCGATATCAGCTGATCCTGTGGCGCGAGAAGCCCAGCGATCCGATACAAGTGTTCGAGTTGAACACCACCACCTATGGACTCCGATCCAGCCCGTATGTCGCCATGCGAACCCTCCTCGAACTCGCTGAGAGAGAGCGCCTAAGATACGCTCGGGGGGCTTCTATTTTGGAGACCTCGGTCTACATGGACGATATTTGTACGGGTGCCTCCACCGTCGAGGAGGCTCTCGTATTGCGAGACGAATTGATTGCCATCCTGAAGTCGGGAGGTTATGAGCTGCGCAAATGGTTGTCGAACTCCCCTCATATTTTGAAGGACCTCCCTGGAGAGGATCAACAAGACCCTCATCTATTCGAGCACCCTGACAATCCTAATTTGTTGACTGTGCTTGGCATTCAATATCAGCCTGTTCAGGATACCTTCACGTATCGAGTCAAGCTCGATCCCCCCCCTAAATCATGGACCAAGCGCTCTGTGTTGTCAACTGTAGCTCGCACCTTCGATCCTAATGGTTGGATTACTCCGGTCATCTTTTTGGCTAAGTGTTTCCTTCAAAAACTCTGGATATCCGGGTTGGGCTGGGACGATCCTATAAGCGGTGCTCTCTTGCGAGAGTGGCTCTCAATTGTGTCCTCCCTTCCAGACATCGACCGGGTCTCCATGTCAAGGTGCTTCCTCCCTCCAGGGAAATGCAGGGTTACCCTGCACGGATTTTGCGACGCCTCTGAGAAGGGTTATGCTGCTGTTGTATATTTGCGGACGGTGAGCTCTTCTGGCCATACTTCCGTCCATCTCGTACTTGCTAAAAGCAAAGTGGCTCCCATTAGGTCCCGCTTAACTATTCCTAAGTTGGAACTGTCTGGAGCTGCTCTTCTCACGCGACTGCTCAACCACGTTCACTCCTCCTTGAAGTCGGTAATCGACATTACGGACGTCTACGCTTGGTCGGACAGTGAGATAGTACTTTGTTGGCTCCGAGCGGCACCTCACAATCTTGAGGTCTTCGTGTCGAATCGCGTGTCCCAAATCCAGAATTCTGCCACTTGTCTAACGTGGAGACATGTCCCAGGGGAGTTGAATCCAGCAGACTGTGCTTCTCGTGGCTGTGAAGCCTCCTACTTGGTTGATCACCCGCTGTGGTGGGGGCCCGGCTGGTTAACTGAGTCTCAGGCGTTCTGGCCCCAGAACAAATACTCTGAACCAATTGAATTGCCTGGCCTACGAGCCCGAGTAGGAGTGGTCAAGGATAAGCCCACTCGTGATCTCTCCTTACTAGAACGGTACAGCTCTCTCGACAAGCTCTTGGGAGTAACTGCTTGGTTGCGTCGATTTGTCCGCAACTCGAGAGACCCATCTAACCGAATATCTGATTCCGCCTTGTCCCCTAGCGAGCGTCGCGAAGCCTTGATGCATTGGACCCGTATGATCCAAGCGGAGCATTTCGAGCTCGTGATTGATACCTTGAAGCGGGGCTTAGTTGTCAAGGGTGCGCTGGCCCGCCTGAACCTCTTCCTGGATGACTCGGGGATGCTTCGCGTGGGCGGACGTTTGAAAAATTCTCAACTGCCGTACGAGGCTCGACACCCTCTACTGCTCCCCAAGGACGGCGCCTTTGTTCGGTTGCTGGTAACTCACTACCATGTTCAGAATGCCCACGCTGGGTGCAACGCTCTTTCGGCCATTTTGCAGCGGGAGTTTTGGATTTTGGCGGGTCGACGCACCATTCGGAGCGTCATCTTTAAGTGCATATCTTGTTATAAGTTGAAGGCCCCCATATCACAGCCGATGATGGGCGACTTACCACCCGACCGCGTCAGGGCCATCCGACCATTCGCGGGAGTCGGAACTGACTTCGCTGGCCCCTTCCTCGTCAAGTCCTCTAACCTTCGTAACGCGCGTGCTCATAAGGCCTATCTGTGCGTTTTCGTGTGCCTCTCCACTAAGGCTGTTCACTTAGAACTTGTAAGTGCCCTTAGCACGGAGGCTTTTTTGTCCACACTGGGTCGCTTCGTATCGCGTCGCGGTTTACCGGACCCGATCCGGTCGGATTGCGGAACGAATTATAAGGGTACTGATAGGTATTTGAAGGAGGTCGTTGAATTTCTGTCTAGCAACAGGACCTATTTAACTACTGCGATGTCCAAGAAGGGCATCCAGTGGAAATTCGACCCTCCGGCTTGCCCACACTGGGGCGGTATTTTTTGAGGCGGTGGTGAAGGTTGCAAAGACGCATCTCCGTCGCGTTATTGGCGAAACTATTTTGACATTTGAAGAGCTTGCCACTGTATTCTGTAAAATTGAAGCAGTCCTCAACTCTCGGCCCCTCTGTCCTCTCTCGTCCGATCCGAATGATTTAGAGGTTCTAACCCCTGGCCACTTCCTGATAGGCCAGCCGCTTAACGCCCTGCCCGAGTACCCCTTCCGGGAAATAATCTCTTCGCGGTTGAGCAGATTTGACATGCTGCAACAAATAACTCAGAGTTTTTGGCACCGATGGTCTCTGGAGTACCTACATCTTTTGCAGCAGCGCGTTAAGTGGTCTGACAAGACGGACCCCCCCTCGGGTTGGAGACCTCGTGTTAGTTAAAGAACCGAACGCCTCGCCCTGGTATTGGCGCCGTGGGCGCATTGTCAAGTTGTCGTATGGACCGGATGGGATCCCTAGGGTGGCCGAGGTTTTGGTTGGAGATTCGGTTTTGCAACGTGCCGTCTCTACCCTATCCCGCTTGCCAATTTACTCGCGGACCTAGATCCTCATGTCCGGGACGGGGGGCTTGTTTAGGCCTAATTTAACGTTTGGCGGCCTGCGTCGGAGCTCGGGTCGAGCGGGAGGCGAGCCTGACGGCTGAGGCGCGGGGGGTGCGGGCTGGTGCGGCGTCCGGCCGCGCCGGCGTCGGCGTTTTGCGGATCACTTGCCGCAGAGCTGGGAACTGAGTAGTTGCGCGTCGTGTTAATAGCTTAGTCGCCCGCTGCCTCTGACGCCTATACTTCGCGAACCTGAGTTGTTTGCAACGCGGCCCGGTGATATTGCATTTTTCACAAAGGTCGAGTTTGTTGTAACGCGAGTTCGGTTAAATCTTGTTGGATTTTATTGGATTAACCTAATGACAATTGACTTGACTCCAATTAACAAGTGAGAAACGAGTGTAATTTCCTAGATTCTTAAATTTTTGTGACGGACTGCCACTTCGATATAAAGAATAAAGGTGAAGCCTTGGGATCGGCGGTTCTGCAACCAGCGGGAAGTCAGGTTACATAATTTAACACAATCACAACACAACACAGTCAAGCACGCCCACACTTACACCTGAATCTTCCTAGGGTTGACCCTACTTCGAAGAAATAGGTAAGTTTTGTTTGGTTCCCTTTTTACCGCTAACGTGTAATATTCCACAAGCCATTTAGGCCGACCTCCTGTTACTCGTCGAGTGGAACCCCTGATGGGCCCGGGTCCCACGACCTTGCCCGGGTAACTAGAGGCCGTAACATCTTATATAAACAAAAATCAATAACTTCTAAATAAAACTAATCGATTGCGATATTTTATGACTAAAGGGTCGATTGTGTTTACTTATGGTCAATCTCTAGCCTAGACCACCGCCCCCCCGTACGTCGCCTCATGCCACCATTTTGTTCCTTAAAAAAGCTATTGCGCAACCTTCTGCGCGAAGGTCGGACTCGCCAAGATACGTCGGCCGTATTGTACAAAATCATAAAACGTACAAAAGTTAGTTAACGAAGTGTTGCGTACTTACATGTTACAAGCAAAGTCTGACAAGTAACTTCATGTTGTTTTGTCTACGAGAATTGGACAAGAATTGGAAGCAGCAACTACGAGTAGGAATAAATCCAGTCTACTAAGCTTTTTTTGCAATGTAAGTTTAACCTTTTATTTACGCTTCGTGCCCAGGATACGACCAAGATTCAGGATTTGGCGAGTCTGGTTATTAAATCAAAGCGATTGGCATTTGACCTTCGTAACCCTTAGATAGGGGAACTAGACAAATTGAATCATGGTTACACATCTAGATATTCTAGATATGCAGGTTTCCTCACGTTGTTTTCCCTCACTGCCGTGATAGTGGTATAAATTCGCACTTAAATTTCGAAAATCCAGAGGTTGATTGATCTTTCAACTTCAAATGAGCCTGGTATTGATCTTTAAACTTCACGTTTGTGAGACACGTGGTCTTATCCACTGGGCTACCGTCGACCTAATAGCGACCTTTATAAATTAATTTCGGTATAAACTATAAATTTCTTATTTTTAGACTTGTTAACTGCTGCTCATGAACCAATAAGGAAACCAGAACAATTTAAAAATACTTATATACGCGAAAATTCTGCTTAGGTAATACTTGATTGGCCCCTTAGGGACCTTAAGAAGAAGAAGAAGAAAAGATTCTACTCCTTTTTAAAAGGCCGGCAACGCGTCCGTAATTCCCCTGGTGCTACAGTTGTTAATGGGCGGCGATAGTCACTTACGATGGTACTGTCACCTAATGAGGTGACCCGCATGCTCGTTTGCCCGCACTCCTATAAAAAAGTTAAGGTCAAAAAGTAGATACTAAATTGAAATACCTAACAGATCTCTTACCCTTGAGACCAGAACACCGCAGTGGGTCCACTGCTACATGGCGACAGAAAAGATAAGAGGATGTTACCAATCCAGTGGGACTCCTAGGTAGAAAAGAAAACTATTTTTCCTCTTTATTGAAACATCATGAGCCAAATTACAATGAAGAACTTGACTGCGAAGGTAAATCTGTACACCATTTAAAAATATCTCTTTTAATATAATGATGTTGATGACAGAGTATTTTTTTAC